AGCCTAGTAGTGTGGGGTCTCTACTAATCGAAATAGGGTTCTTTGTTTACAGGGTTTGAGGTGTAGTAGTGTAGGGCGCCCCTACTACTGAACATAAGGTTTCGGGTTTGGGGTAGTACTGCAGGGGCCCTACTAATCAGAACAGGGCTTTCTGATTCTGTTGATCTAGTAGTTTAGGGATGTTTAGGGGGCCGTACTAAGTAGAATCAGGTCTTGGGGTCTGCTTGTAGTGTAAGAATATATATATATATATATATATTATAATAATATTACATTATATTCGTATATATATATATATAGACTGTGAAGGGCTATTATGATAGAGTTTTCGGACTCTGTATTGGTGCCCTTTGCCGCGACTGCCCTACATGGGAGCACGATAGAAGCTTAAGAACAGGCGAGTGGCAAGTGCGGCACTCGTGGAAGGCACCATCAGCCCGAATCCCGAAGACCTTTTTGTCCTCCCTTGATCAAGAACTGCACCGACTGCTACCTCGGAGCTTGTTACGAATGCTGTGCCTTGTGTCAGGCCTTTACAATACCCTACTGTGTAAAGGCCTATGTTAGGGTCCTTGTTTTCTGAAACAACTACATTCTCCCGGCCTGCACCCGACTTGCGATCTTTGCGCTGGCCAAGGTGCTCCTGTTTCGAGGAACGATCATGGAATCTGTGGGCTCAGGTCGTTTGGGCAGCAATGAAACGGTGCGGCGTATGGAATGGCTTTCAGTTGAACAAGCTTGCTTGTGAAAGGGTACCCCAGCCTTGAAACGTTTTTGTGAGCTCGAGACTGGTCTTTTCCACTTGCCCGCTATCATCGGGTGAAAATTGTGTCCACCAGGTGGTACCCAAAATCCAAAGCCCTAAACCCTATACCCCAAAACCTTAAACACAAAACCCCAAAAACAAAAAGCCCTGCATCACCACCACCACCACCACCTACTACTACTGCTTCTACTTCTACTTCTACTTCTACTTCTACTTCTACTTCTACTTCTACTACTACTACTACTACTACTACTCCTACTACCACCACTACTACTACTACTACTACTACTACTACTACGACTACTGCTACTACTCCTACTACTACTACTACTACTACTACTACTACTACTGCTACTACTACTACTACGCCGACGACGACCACTACCACTACAACTACCACTACCGCTATCACTACCACTACCAGTACCA